CCTTTGTGCAAAACGCTCTTAAGGGTGTAGGCGCGTGTACTATGTTATCACGCTCGCGGGCTCTTGTCGAGAGCGTTTTGCACAAAGGAGTGACGCAAGGTCCTTCATGAACGATTATCGAGTGAGAGACGTGGGCAGGCAAGCAGAGCCTTGCGCGTCAAGTCCATCACAACCATCATGAATATCTATCTGCGTACCCCCCGGAGATCTCGGAGAGTCGTATCCTGCCGGGTACACCCACAAACAAGTTTTCTCGCGTGTCCAACTCGACTATCCTCTAACCAGGTCCGCACCCAAACGCACCCTCTCAAAAGCTCAAGGAACGTACCCATGCGTGACTGAAAGTTCGATCGTTTCACACAGCTCGTAGCATCCCTGCCTCTTCTTAGCACCCCACTGCAATATGAAGGCCCCGCCACCGCTAAAGACAACGAAGAGTGGCACACACAGCAGTGTCACACTGTCGCACCTCGGCACCGCTGCTGCAAGACTCGCAAGAGCAACTCTCGAGGAGGGGAAACCAGAACTCATCTCGCCCCCCGAAAATTCGGGGAAAAGGCTCGATCCCGCCGTTGGATGACGTCGACAACTAAATTCCGAGGTGTAACTCGTGCGTCTAGACCAAAGACTTTCCGATCGAAAAAAAATCAACACACTCGAGCAATTCGACCACGGTGGATGTTAATTCGAAGCCAAGGCTGAACGTACTATGTAAAGCAATCTCATTTTGGACACACAAAGGCGACACCCTGTTGACCTCGATTTGCCTCGCCTCACAAACCCACGGGGGTGGCTCGACCGCTACTGCAGTACAGTGGCAGGGCACGCACACGGTGCCACTCATCTGTCCTTACGTCTATTCTTTGCCGGACCCATCCCTGGCCAACACCGCTCTTCGCACCCTCATCGCCACGACTGCCTCCCCCACTGGCGGCATCAAGCTGGCTTTGCAACAAGCGGTGGTTGGCCCTCCTTGACCTTTTCAAGAAGCGACCGGCGATGGAAGCAATATTCTCTAGCTCCTCGTCTTGGATGACGCGGGACGCAGCCACCTGTGCGTTGGTAACACGTTGAATTAAAGAGCTGAGATCGTCTTCCCCATCGATGATCTGTTTCGAACACAAATCATGTCATTGAAGAACCCAGGAAACGTTGAACACGGTTTGGCAACGGTTCCAACTTGATCCAGCGGTGAACCAATGCCGCCAAAGACTGATGTGCGCGGTCAGAAGTGTGTGTGTTGAAGAAACGAACCACGACATACACTCGCGACACACAAAATGCCAAACAACCCTGCGCTCGCAAACTTGCGAGCTGTCTGTACGTGTTGATACTCGACGAGCACACGTTGAGTGTTCGGACAACATGGCTCACCCATGAACAGTGCCCCAACGGAACACGTGGGAATATGTTTTCTTTCGGAAGCCCAAACGCTCATCATCTTGTTAAAGCAGACACGTTGTTTTGTCCTTCGCAACACTGCAGCCGAAGTTTAACGGGCCACTTGGTACAACATCCGAACCGGAGTAGGTAGCGGAAGGGTAAAAAACACGCCACCAAACCTGTTCATGGAAATATGACCAACCTGCGCGTGGATGATACGTTGTGCCTCATCGTACTGCCCCAGCCAGATGCAGTTGTAGGCCACATTGACACGGCATTTCCCGGCGAGTTGCAAATCCCCGAGTGCTGTCGCTACCTTCCAAAGCAAAATTCAGAACGGAGGGTGTGCCCACAACCGGTGGTTAAAGCATGGACGAATGAGATGCCCAGATCCCTTTCGGGTTGCGTACGCCACACGGACAGGGTGAGAGCTCCCTGTTTAGGTGGTACTTTTGGGGCACCAATGGCATTTACTTACCGGCCCCCCAGCAGTAATTCATCGCATTTCACAAACAACCTCAGAACTACGCCGCCGATGTTTGGGTGAGAATGTGCCGGTACTGCGTGTACAAACCATGCAGTGGGTTAAACGCGCACCGAAGATCGGGGGTGATTGACAAGTTCTCTGCTGTGGAATGGGTGCGGCCCTTTGTCAATTCAGACCTGCGTCGCGATTCAGGCAAAACACACGGGTGACTTTGAGAACATGGGCACATAGGGTCCACTACACTCTTACCTCTGATTGGGCAAGGGCTAGACGTATCGCCTGTCCGACCTGCCGGGTGAGGAAGTAGCCTCCCCCCAGGGTGCTAAGCTTTGCGTTGGCGTTCAAGAGAGTGGCAAAGGCCTTGGCTTGACTGATCAGTTGGAGGCACCACCTGCACAGACACATACGATCGATTTGTCCCATAGTGTGGATGACAAGTGTATTCGAAACGTAGGATTCGTGTGTACGCATTCAAAGTATAGGAGGGAACGATCTCCATAAGCGTTTCGAGAACCATAGGACCTCGAGAGACCTTTAGCAGATACACGAATCTCCTACATGCCACTGGCTGGCGTGAGCGGGCCGGCCACTTGTGGCACTGCCCCTGTAAAACTCCCTTTCTGGACCCTCTTTCCTTGCCCAAGGTAGCCGGTGGCAGCTACCCCGACCTTGGGATCCTTGTGTCGCATACTCAAGCAGTCTACGCCGTCGGCTCGATTAAACCTAGGCTAGGTTTATGCGTACACAAGCAGGGTACCACGCCTCCGCATTTTAGGTGTTCAACCACACTCGAAATGGCGCAAGTATCATACCGATTGGTGCCCACTGCTGCAACAACAAGTGCCAAATACGAAGTCAAAAGACCAAGTACTTGTACTATACTTCATGCCAGTGCGTTCATGTGTACGTTGCACTACCGCTACAAGTTGCCGTGTGCTGGCATGGGAGAGGGTATTGATGTAGTAATGCTTGTATTCACGGTGCTTGACCTCTACAGGTTATCGTGCAATGGCCAAACAAACAAGTGCCACCCCCTCAGAAAACTGCTTTGCATCATGTATTTACCTACCCTTCACGCGCAAGTCTCACCGAATGTCCGGTACCATCGTAACCAGCGGATGACAAATCAGCCTGACTTGTAGTACTTCCCCTGCCGCCCCGTTTCCGCTATACCCACCCTCCGGCGTTTGCCCTTCAAGTTGTTCGGTACAATGGAGACCAGACGATGATACACACGGTGGATGTAGGTCGCTTCATGAGTAACTGTGATGAATTGTACCAGCGTTCCGTTCTCGGCAAGTATTGTTGTGCGCTGGCGCATCACAACGGGCAAATAATCATCGTTACGGAAAATTTCTGGAGACCGGCGCAGGCGGTGATACGACTTGCGCTCTGCGCTACATGTAAGCACGCTCCTGTGGTTTTGGCTCATGTTGTCGTCGTTGCCTCCCGAGAGGAAACTGTTCTGGTGTCTAGACTGAGAATCGTCGCATAGCGTACCCGTCGGGGACAACTTTTCCGTTGCTGCATGCCAACACAGATACGTGACGCCGCCAACGTGGGGGTCAAACTAGGGCAAAAATTCTGCTAATTTTGCATGTGGTGAGACTCCGACGGGGCAATTTCGGCATCGCAATCACCACCAGGTGCACACAGCGCTGGACAGTTGCGTTGATGATTCCAGGGCGCAGCAGGCACAAAGCAACGAGAGCGCACAGCCGCCACAACAACAGTCACAATATTCTCAACACAGAAACGCCAACGTTCGACCCACACCTTGCCAACCATGACCGCAAGGATTGTGTCACACTTCGTCAGCAGAGCATCACCCGGCTGTTGCAACACACGTCCTCCAAGCGTGAGCGTAGCGACCGCAGCGGTTCGTTCGCCGCGGAAACAATTCGCACACCCATCCATCACCTGGGGATCCCGCTGTCGGCTCGAGGTCGAAGGCTATCCACCGCTCGCCCCCGTCGCATCGCCCGGTCACCTTGTACCGCATACCATGAGCTCGCCCCCCCGCCGTTGCGACCGCCTCCGCGAGCAGTAAGTCATCGTCAACATCAAGACAACACATGGAGAACCCCGTCGCTGTTCTGTCCGTTCTTCTCGCGTTCATTGCCGTCTCTACGACGCTGCTGGCGCAGGCGCTGGTGCTGCCACCGAGCACACTACCGCTGCTGTTGAAACCACCTGGCCGCCCCCGTTCCTGTAGCCCGGTAGTCGCCGCCGCAATCCGGAGCCACGCCACCAAGCGCCCAACGGCTGCGGAGACGCCGCCCGTGCTGCTATTACTGCCATTACTAGCAGAACAGCGTGTCGCCCCGAACGACTTATTCCCGTCGGCGCGAGCGTCTCGACGGCTGCACACATCAGCAGGTCCAGCTGTGCCGGCGCAGCCGCGGGGAGGATAATCTCCTGGAGGCTGCTCAGGCTCGATAGCGTTTCCCGCTGTGCTTGGATTCGCGGACAGGCGCATGTTTTCCGCGTGGGACCGATCAAGCAGGGATTGCACGGCCGAGAATCCAAGGACACTCTCAACTACGACGAGCGCCACTCCACCTGGTGCTACCGTTGCCGATGACTGGATAGAACACGCTGGTTGCTGTGAACTGGTACAGATGCCGTCGTTCGTTACAGGGGACGAGGCCGTGCCACCGGAGCTGCTGCCGCCGCTGCCGTAGCGCTCGTCCTGAGCACCGACAGTAGTTTCGATGCGGACAAGGTTCTGCTGAACATTCGTTACGACCGCATCACCGCGGACCAAGTGCTCAGCTGCTCGCTCTCGCACCGCACCACCTCCGGCTGTTAACAAGCTTTCGTGGTAAGAATGGTCGGCCACGGCGAACGTCCTAGGGAGAAGCAAGCGCACCATACCGGCAGGTCGGCTAATTGTCTCCGTTTCTCCAATGGAAGCTGCAGCCGCCAAACTCGCAGTGCGCCCGGGCGATGCCCGTTGACCTCCTGACCGGGATTGGGCGGGGGAAGGTACGTCATTGTAGAGGGCTTGTGACAGGCGCACAACGGGTGGGATCGACATCATCGGCGTCCTACCCCCCGTACAAGCAACGGCTGGGGAGGTGACCAGTAGTGAAGCTGGCTACGGATGCGGCACAACTGAGTGCCAAGGAGTTCATGGTTCATGATGGCCTCGCAGGGAGACGGGGCTCGGAAAGAAGAAAAAGAAAAAAAAAAAAACATATCTCTCCGCATCTCCGCATCGGTCTGCAACTGCTCGGCACTACTCTCACTCGCACACCAATGCGGCACGCAGCCCAAGCCAAACAGCGCCCTTAGCGCCACACCGGCGCCGGTGCTGTATGTACTCTTCGTGTTGACAATTTCGTGTGTTGTGGGGTACCACCGGTGCAGTCACGGGGACCTTTTTTGCGTGTGGCGGGTGTGATGAGGGTTGTGCGTGCGTGCAGCTCACTTCCTCTCTCTCCGTACTACCGCCGTCGCTCTCTCCAATCAAGTTTCCTTCTCCAACGCTTACTCCAACACCACCTCAATCTCTCTCTCTCGGCCTTACACGGCCGACTACCCAGTGCCCCAAGTAACGCCCAGCACGGGCTTGCTGCACCTCCGCGTAGTTTACCTTACATCATCCATCAAGAACGGGGTCGAGCTGTACGCATGTAGTACCTGAAGCTTCGGAGGGGTCGAGACTGCAGCAGTTCAAGGCTAGGATGGTGGCTGGTTTCGGCCCCTCGAGAATTGCTTGGGGTGTTCGTAACAGCAGTACCGAGATGGAATTGTCAAGTCGGGTGTGTCTGAGCTGTGGCCGAGCCATCCCATACACCGTGAGGAGGGGGCAAGACGAGTCTGCTGTTGTTGTTGTGCTTGAATGCGCGGATGCAAAAAAACTGGGTGTTTGAGAGGGTGCGGTTTGGCGCGAACCTTGTTGGATGGTGGTCGAGGTATGGACACGCGAGGGAGCTCCTGATCGATGTCGTCTGTTTTCCGTTTGGTGACGACGTTGAGGGGTTCCACTTCTTGCCTAGTTCAAATTGCTTTACAGCGATTCATGGCTGACGCGCAAACAACGATGGACTATTGGGGTTGTTACAACCACAAGGACTGAGTGAGTGTTCAGATAGATGGTGTGTGTTCAGATGGAAAATAAGAACGTAGAAAGAGTTTTTCGAACGATTGTGTCAATTTTTCGGACAGCTCTTAGTTTGCCTGACCGTCGTTCAACAATTCGAACTCCTTGGTGCTGCCGTTCATGACGTGTCCCAACCGAGCTCACAGAGAGTGACGCTGGATTGGCGCATTATACGCCGGGGAATCATGTTCATGTCGTCAATGGAGGACGCAGTACATTGCGTTTCTGCCCACGATAAAGACGAACTCATGTACAACATCCTTTGTCTTTCAACGAAGAGATTACTTCAATTCATGCGAGATCACACGCGAAACCCTTCGGAAACAATTATGGTTTTCAAGGGCAAGGATGGTTGTGGGTTTCTCTTGTAGTTTTGTCGATCGACCACACGCATGCGCGTCCACGATACCACCCCAGTCCAGAGGAACATTTCTCATCCTACCTACACCAGACTCGGGTTTCAACGACGGCCTTGCAAAGACGTCCATGAAAACTCCAGCTATGAATCTCCCTTCCGCATTCAACCGACCACACAACGGCGAAAGACAACCACTCTTGGCCTTGCGATGTGTTTCTCGCGCTGTAGTACTTTTTGAGAGTCTGCATCGTTTGCGATACCGGCACGGGGCAACGGGACCATGGTCGTTTTCCGGTTGGCGACGAAGATCAAGACCATGGGCTGCAGACGGTCAAGCTGAGAGCGCAGCTAGGGTTGTAAACGTAGACACACGCGACCGTTCAATGTTGCATTAGCCGTATACTTTTGTTTACATGTAGTCTAGTGGTCAGACCCGGCAAACGAGCGCCGCACATATTTCCGGCTGGTTTTTGATCGTTCTCCATTTGACTGCATGGGGAATGTAACGAACCTAAGACACCAGGTACAGGTAAAACACACGTGCTAAAGGTCCCGTCTTACAGGTACAATATGTCAAACATACTGGCCCTTCCCGCTGCTACCGGCCGTATCATCGAGAGGGCCCTTCCTTGTAAACTCTTTTCACTGTGGTGGTACGTGTATTTTGTACTGTGACCACGCACACCACTCGCCCCCACGCCTGAGTACTATTTACCCCCCTATGTACCTCCCTTCCGCCGTGAACCCGAAAGGTGGCGGTATATCACCCAATAAAGAACCCCCGCACGCGACCAAACAACTTCTGCGGTCCCAGCAGTTTCGAGAAAGGAAAAGTGAGGCAGACACGTCGACGAACTACATTCCTTCCAATAAACGTCCAACTGCAAACGGGGTTCATGTAACAACACTTAAAAGCCCCACGAAGATGAAGACCACGAGGCGGCCGCAGCTTCGCGGGTCTCCCGGGCGAGCCTCATCCGGGAGCTCTCCCAGCGGGGGGCGTTCCTGCCCCCCTCCACCTCCGTAGCCTCCGGCCGTACAGTGGACGAGGCATCCTCCTCCTTACCGCCGCCATCACTGCTCCACCTGGCGTCCCGCTCGCGCCTGCGGGCCTCCTCCTCCTCCTCCTCCTCCTGCACCATGTTCAGCCATCGCACCCTGACGGAGACGGTGGTGGCACGGTGGGGCTTGACCAGCAAAGCCGACCAACCCCTCCTCAGTAGGATCGAGCGGGGCATGTCGTCGATGTCTGTCCATTTCGCAGCGCGCGGAGTGGGCAAAGGGGACTGTCCCCATGGTCCTCTTCGCGCACTGCGAAATGGACCGACATCGAAGGCGTCCCCCGGCTCGATCCTCCTCAACAGGGGTATCGACGGCTCGATGGTCAAGCCACACCGTGCCACTGCCGTCAGCGTGCGGTGGCTCGATATCGAGCAGGAGGAGGAACAAGAGGAGGAGGATGCCCGCAGGCGCGAGCGGGGCGTCGGAAAAGCTAGAACTCGGTGCGCTCTGACCCGCCCCGTGTTCCCCTCGCCCGTACCGAACAAGAGATACCCTGGTTCTGGGTTTGGTCCGCCACACGCGAGGGAGAAAGCGGAATGACAGTGGTGAGTTGCGTGTGAGAGGAGATGAAGCTCATGGGCATAATGCTTGGAGAACACAACCGATATGGACGATATGGACTAGGTTGATGATTCTTGGTTGTGGCGTTGGGTCGTGCAGCAGTTTAGGACGGCGTACACGCAGCGTACAACACCCGAACT